TAGCCAGGCTTACAGAAAGTCAGAGCTCTGTTGAGCCAACCTATAAGTGCTATATAAGAACCAGTCCATTTACCATATCTATGATCGGTGGTCGTTGATCAATGGTCATGAGAATTTGCATAATTATGATGAAGGTAACCTCCAAGCCCATTGTTCCTTCAGTGGTCTGGTTTCAGTCATTTTGCAAATGACTATGTATAAGATTGGGGAAACCTGCAGTCAGCTGAGACTAAAGAAGTCACTTGGATGAGTGACGAAACTTTTCTCCCACTGAAAACGCTACATCCAGATGAAAAGAATCAACCTTTGGAGATTTACTTACCTGGATGATTGAGAATCCATTAAGAAGCTTTAGTGAAGGTTATAAATGATCTTCTTTTGAGCTCTAACAGTGGACTCTCTGTGCTTGTTCTGGTATACCTTAGTGCAGCCTTCAATACGGTTGACCATTTGAAAATTGAATTTTTGGTTTTTATTTGTTTCTTTGAACTGTTCTTTTTCCATAATCGAATGACTGTACGGGATACATCTGTATTGAAACTGGGTTCATTTTACATTTATTTTGGATTTTTTCTAATTGAAAAAGTGTCAAATTTAAACTCATATTCAGGTAAATCTTAATAATTGATGCTGACAAAATCAGCACCTTAGAGTTCAACTGAATTTTCCACCTGCCCACATGGACAAGACCAATGAAGAAGGACTTCTTCCAAATTTTACCTCAAATCAACACCTAGATGGTTGAAACTTGGACGCAACTGGGTATTCAAACATTACAATGATCCTGAACACACATCAAAACTGGTTTTGGGCGGGATAAAGAAGGTTATCCTTCTGAAATGACCTTTGCAAAGCCAACCTCAGCCCCACTGAAATTTGTGGTCTACGAGGAAAAGAAAGGTCCACAGTAGGAAACAACTAATTTATATGAACTTGAACTGCCACTATGCCAGAAGCAGAGGCTACCAAAAATCTTAGCTTAGGGACATTTAACCAGATACTAGTGAGGATGTATGTGTGTATTTAAACCTGTATGTACACTGCACAAAGAAATTCAGGGAACACTCAGAAAAGATCAGATCACATCAAAATAATCATATCCATCTATACTGATAACGACGTTAGGAACATAAGGACGCCACGTCATTTGATGGAAATGAAAATTATCAGTGTACAGCGCTGTAATAGGAAGTGCTTCCAATGATATAATATTCATAAAGAGACCTCTGTAGTCAACTGCACACTCCCACAAGTCCAAGTGCTCTAAGACAAGATACCCAAAGCTTCCAAGCATGTTTATCATGTCATTCTTGCCCCTTTGACCTGACCTGCTTGCTACATTGACTGTGCATTAGTAAGAAACAACACACATAGTTATTAATTACAATTATTAAGGGTGTCAGTTTAGCTCAATGGGTGAGCAGGCGACCATATGGTGTATGGCTGGAGAGCAGTAGGTCCAGGTTCAGGTCTGACGCGTGCCCCTTTGCTGCATGTCTTTCTCTTCCTGCTTTCCTGTCTTCACTTTCCCTATCCAAAAGGCCAACAAAAAATGTAAGAAATTACAGTGGATGTGAGATATAATTATTATGTCATTATTCATTGCCTCACTTTGCTTTCTCATTGGACATGACAGAGATGTTGTTTAGGGGAGGTCATTCAAATACTGTTTAAGTAATCATGTAATAAGGGAAGGTAATGATTATTCAGTTTATATATATTGAACTCCCTGTGTCACCTGCTGTCCCGAGGCATCCTCTGCTCCAGAGCTTCTGCTTCTTATTGGGCCAGTTTTTGGTTTGTGGTCTAACCTTAAGAGATAAATTTGATTCTTCAGCCTGTGTATCTAAGGATGATAAGTATCCAGATTTGTGGACTGCCTTGCAGTAGAGAGTTACATGGGACCAAAATGCTTTGATTTTTTGTGACATTGTTCTGTCTTCTGTTTATCTCATTATATAGATCCTTCTCTTACTGTGACTAATCTCTAACCCACTGAAATTTTCATTCACTTTAAAATGCTAACATGCTACCATGTCTTGTTATTGCATCCAGTAATCCTTGTTTCAAATCATGTGTTGATCATTGTCACAGTAAGACAGATATTCTTTGCTTTTGTTGGAGGTTTTAGTTTAGTTAATTATGTGTCCTTGCTGGTCTGAGTGTGTGGTCAAAATACTCAATTAATTTCAGGTTACATAAGAATATGACATGCTTTAATGTGATAACTTGAAATTAATGCTGTACAGCAGATTAACATTGGAAAGTAAATCATTTGAATAATCTTCTGAGTTTTTAATGTACTCAGCAAATACTTATCTATATACGTTCACATTAAGAATGCTGAGGATATAGTTTTTATCATTGACTTTTATTATTGCTTCTATAACTTCTATAGCCTGTGATTTAATGACAAGAATCAACAATGGCACAACACAGAAGAGCTAACTTGTAAGTCCAGGACTATGCAGTCTGTTTAAACATACAGGCCAGTAGCCACTCTGTCAAAGATGAGGATGCACACATCCTCAACGTTGGTTTGAGTGGGGAGTCAAAGAGGCCATTTACGTGATAAAGGAAAAACCATCACTGAAACGAGGAGGGGGCTACATCTGTCATCAATGCTGTGATTGCAGTCATTCACCAACTCTTGATGAATGGTACTCAGTGGCTATTTGCCAATGGTCATGACAATGTGTATATTAATGATCATGAAGTTCACTTCACAACCTATTGTTAGCTAGTAGTGCTAGCAGTACTGTTTATGAGATTGGGAAAACCTGCAGTCAGCTGAGAATGAAGAAGTCACCTTGATGAGTAATGAACACTACGTCCAGATGATTGAGTATGCATCGAGAAGAGAATCAAGAATGTTTTTACATAATGTGCTTAACAGGTTTTAGCCGTTGCATTTTTAGATAAAAATTATTTATTTGTATGAAAACACAGAACATAGTAATTTGAGCTTGTTATGAGAAAACTTCACTATCAAGTATGGTACTAGCAGTGGTGGTAGAATATTTAAAATTCAGTACTGACAGCACCAATGCTACTCATGGAAAAAAAAATTATATTGCAATCCCTGTGACAGAGACACTGTTATATATGACATAAACTCACTGTCTATCTGTGTGTGTGTGTGTGTGTGTGTATATATATATATATATATATATATGTATGTATAT